GGAAGAAAGAGGTATGTCTCTCTGTATTCGCTGAGAGCTGTGTCATTGACATCGCGCAACGTTTGCAGCACAATGGTCTTGTACCCCAATCCTATCCGGAGAAAAAAGCGTTCAAAGAGCTCGTCAGCAGCATGAAGCGAAAGCTTGACGAAGAAAATTTTGAAGAAGCGGAGGCACAAGCCTATCGTTCGTGGACAGAGACAAAGGTGCCAAGCGAGGTGGCCGAACTCTTCAGCGACCCTAAGCTACAAAACCTCAATGCTTCATGTATGCACTTTTCATCCTTAACTCGTGCATATGCTCACGTATTCTCAGCCCCACCATTTTTCCATCTCCTCGCCGCCCTCAAGGCGTTCACCGCGCATCCACCCTACACGTTACCCCTCACTAGTACACTCCCCGATATGAAAGCTAGCACGGATGCATACATCGGACTCCAGAAATTGTATAAGGATCAAGCGGAGCTCGAGAAGGGCACCTTCAAGAGTTATATCTCTCCCGAAGTCCAGATTGGCGATGATATTATTGACTCGTTTGTCAAGAACGCACACGCACTAAAGGTTATTCGTGGGTCATCCTGGAACTCCATTGACAAGGACGCCACCGCGCTCGGCAAGTGCATCGCCACTTATGTAAATTCATGAGTCTACTTACACGCCTGTGCAGCCAACGCTGTGACCGCCTCACCTAAACAACTCGCTATCCACCTCGCACTCTCAGCCGCTTCTTCTTTGGCCTCGAAGACTCCTATACCCCTTCAAGGCGAGATTCTTGTGCTGACAATTGAGGCGCTCACTCAAGAAGCACAATCGTTACTACCGCCCGAGACTGAACTGCCTGAGGAATTCGAGGACACGGCCGGAGAAATGTATGTCCTTCACCTAGTTTGACACATCGCGTGTTACCCATGCTTTCTATTCATCTTCCACTAGTGCGCGGTCACCAACAGCCGACCTTCCCAACACAGCTGCGCTTCTTGGTGGTCTCGTTGCACAGGAAGTCATCAAGATGATCACAAAGCAATATATCCCCATTTCGGGTGTCTGTACCGTTGACTTGATAGAGACCTGGACAGGGATCCTGTGAGGGGTGGATGGCCTAGAGTAAGGGTTTCTGGTCCGTGTATTGCTACTTCGCGCTTTTCTATCGTTTTTGACCTCGTGAATGTCGCATAAACTCGTTGAGGCCACAAGCCCTTATGGCATCGTGAATGCTCCAAATAATAGAGAAGAAGCATAACTTTGCTCGTCGGATACCTTTAATGCCGTGAGATCTTCAAGTCTGATGGACGGTTGATGGACATCTTGGAGCTCTGAGGGGTTCTGAGTGATACTCGACGCTATAGTCTCCGAAACAACTGGGGCTGCCCAATCCAGCCTAGTACAAGTCGGTGGCCCTGCTTCGATTCTTGATCTGTTTTGTCCAACGATAGACGCAACAATTACTGTCCGACTAGCGCTAACCTTCTTCGCTTCTGGTGACCCCTTACTAATGCTCGGAGGTGATGGGGCACAGCGTCCATGATACAGCAATGCTGAAATGTGCGACTTGACCGGGCTTCGACTTCGACAGCGGAGGCCAGATTGGAGCGTCATGGATTATGGTGGGAACCAGCTCCTCCGCATTTCCGAGGTGCATGTCGTTGACAGTCCTATTTATTCACGTCTCCACTATGTTTAGGCACTTTCTCTCATTCCAGTGGTTATGAAAAGCATACGGCATCAGTGGCGAGATGGCACATCAAGGCCTGCCATGTTCGAGATCAAACAGTGGAACCTGCCGGTGTTGACGCAACGTCGAGACGATGATCATCGTTTCATAACTACCACGAGCAGAATGACAACTGTCCATTCCCAAAAAAGTCCCGCAAGCCATGCCATTAGCCCTCTCTCCCGTTTTCCGTGTCATAGCTGCTTACCCCGATATAGCCGACAGCCCCATGTACTCTGTCGAAAATTCTACGACTTGACCAACTTTGTGAAGTCGTTCGGTGCCCCATCAATGGGGATATCCACCTTTCTTTTTGTCTTTCAGACATGCATGGGAACTTCTTGGAGCTGACGCTGACTGGCGTTTAGTTGGCGCGCCACTTGAACCCTTGGGAGTTTTCATTTAACTTTCCGTACATAGGAAAGAGATCCGTCCCTGGAACCGAATAGGTAAGTCTTTAGCCAAACCTCATCTTGCCGATGTATGGAAAGAAAACAATTATCTCGACATCTGGCAACACATGGTGACCCGGTGGTGTCCATCTCTCCCCAGTTCACAGCACACACACAGTCCGCTGTTCGGGGCAAGTTCAACCTTGGCGAGATGAGATCTGCTCAGATCCAGCGGATCAGGGCCTGCGACTCGACGGCAACTATTAAAGGACCATGGATGGCTGGAGGGAGGGCGCGAACCACACTGCACCGATAGAAACTCTCGACTCTTAGGTCTTCCCAACCTCTCAGCTCTCGGGTCGCACTTCTGGTCACCATGTCAATGTTATTCGAGTCAGTCTCCAATACCCTTCGCAGCTTCGCTGCCAATCAAACTCGGACATCCCTGGGGATGTATTTCATCTTACTGTTGTTGCTCTCCCACCTGCTTTTGAAACTGTATGTTCGTCGTCGCGATAATCCTAGGGGCCTGCCATACCCACCCGGACCGAAACCTCTGCCTCTGGTTGGGAATTTGTTTGACTTTGCGCGCGAGAATGAGAGTGCGGCGTATCTAGGGATGGCACATGAGCATGGTCAGTCTGAGTTTGGTGTCCAGGGGGTGCAGCGCGAGGCTAACTGACCCTGTGTTGCAGGTGATCTCGTGTTCCTCAGCGCCCTTGGGATAAACGTCCTCATTGTCAACAATTTCCAAACCGCCAACGAGATTTTCGAGAAGCGTTCTGTGAACTATTCGGATCGTCATGAGTCGCCAATGATCAACCACTTGTAAGCTTTCCCACTTTTTGCGTTTATGAATGCTGTGTTCATTTGACTTCGATAGAATGGGATGGGACTGGAGCTTTGGCCATATGCGGTACGGTAAGCGCAGCGAAATAGAAATCAAGGTCCTCAGGGCTCACGGAAGTGACAGGTGAACGCTGGAAGAACCATCGCAAGATGTTCCACCGCCAGTTTCAACAATCGGTGGCGCCAATTTATTGGCCTGTCCAGCTCAAGGCAGCACACGGACTGCTTCGCCTCCTCCATGAGAACCCTGGAGACCTCATCAACAACCTTCGACAGTAAGCTCAAAGTTACATAGCTTTTTTTCCTGTTTCCAGTGCTGATGCCCGGACGAAGTAACGCCGCTAGTGTGATTATGAGTGTCGTCTATGGTATCGAAGTTTCGCCACATGATGACAGGTACATCTCCGTTGCTGAGACTGCACTGGATGGAATGGCGAGAGCGGCCAACCCGGGAGCGTTCCTCGTGGACCTCATCCCTAGCTGTGAGCATAACGTCATTCATGGACTAATTAAAGCCCCGATACTGAACGCCTTTCGACAACAGTGAAATATGTACCGTAAGTCTGGGTTTGGATTCATGCGCTGCTTTACTGAGGACCCCCGAAATAGATCTTGGTTACCGGGGGCAGGATTTCAAGTTAAGGCTCGCCGGTGGAAGAAGGCTGTAATGGAAATGCGTGACGCACCTTTCGAAACCGTGCTGAAGGCGCTGGTATGCATGTTCTCACGTAATTCTTATTTATAGATCTCACTCAGGCTTTTGTCCTCGAAAATCGCAGAAAGTTGGAACGGCTAGTCCCTGCTTCGTAACTAATCTTGTCACGGACATCGAGCACAAGGAACACAGAGATGAGGAAATGGAACAGATCAGGAACTGCGCGGGCCTTGCGTATGCCGGTGAGCGGTCCCGATTAATGCGGCCATCCCTTGAATGACTCATTTTTGTTCCACGCAGCTGGCGCGGAGAGTGTATGTTATATTTTCCTTGCTACAAAAATAAAGCTCATAGCGGTTCATAGAGCGTATCGTCTCTTTCGTCCTTTTTCCTAGCAATGATATTGCACCCCGAAGTCCAACAAAAGGCTCGCGAGGAACTCGATCGTGTTGTTGGTCGTGGGCGGTTACCCGACTTCACAGATCGCGACTCTCTCCCATATATAACTGCCATCACCAAGGAGGTCCTCAGGTACGCCACATCTCTGAATATGTATTGCATACCCGTTTGGTAACCCCTTGCCAAGATGGAATCCTGTAGCGCCTTTAGGTGAGTTCGTTGCCGCCGGGCCATCACTGCAAAATGAAACTCATCATTGTTATATATCACAGGCTTACCTCATATGTCGACGGAAAACGACATCTATCGGGGTTACTTCATTCCTGCTGGTACTTTGATCATGGGCAATTCCTGGTGCGTCCTCGGCTTCATCATTGTAACTGATTTTCGGATCTCTTACAAAACCTTATATTTTAGGACAATTTTACACGACCCCGAGACCTTCCCTGATCCTCTACGTTTCAACCCGGAGCGCTTCACCAACAAGCCGGACGGCCAACAGTTCTCCCCTAACGACCCTCTATCCACCGCTTTCGGTTATGGTCGCAGAATTTGTCCTGGACGTTTCATGGCAGAAGCCCAACTTTGGGTTTCCGTTGCATGTATCCTATCAGTCTTCGATATCACTCCAGGAAAAGATGAGAATGGAAGACCTGTGAGCGTCGAAGCGAAGTTTTCTTCGGGCATGATATGGTATGCCTCCTACCTTCGAAAGCATCAAGGTTGTTTTCTGATTCCAGAAATTAGCCATCCGCTCCCATTCAATTACTCGATCACACCGCGCGATGAACATACTAGGAGGCTCATTGATCAGGCTATGCTGATGGATGCCTGAAAGCATACTCGCTTCTTGACCCGGATTCAGATTTGTGACCTTGTAGTCTTATCTTCGCTGTGTATTTTCGTCTAATTTAAAGTATTGTAGAGATTTGTATTTGTTGGACGTGTACTTTAATTTAAGCAATGTGTTACAGAAGGAGTGGCGTACAAATATCGCATTAATGGGGTAGTGGTAACCTGGGTCGTTGCCATTCTATCTCGACCCGCCGGGGGTTCGATTCCCTCTTAATGCACTCGCGAAATCCGATGCTTTTTTCTGTTTCCCATCAAGTTCACCATCCTTTCTTTGATATATTGTTGTTCTGTGCATTCAGCAGGCATCATCCCTTATAATTGGTGGGCATTGCCATCTTGATCAACATACATCTAGAAAACACCACCCTAGGATACAGTACACATGATGGTATTTCTCACTTCACCCCCCACCTCTAGTCTCGGTCCACATCACCTACGATCTATTCTGTTATGAAAATGAGGTTTACGGATACTAGTTCTTTCTTATCCGTCCAATATGCGTTTATCATAATTCCTACCATTCCCCTTTTCGCATTTCTTACCTAAGCGTAGATACATTGCCTGTCGCCTCACTTGTAACCCTTAGTTTCGTCCCCGATTACTGAGGTGAGTATGCTGTGTACCCGGCCGTCCTGTGTAGTTTATTGATTAATCCTTCCGGTCTTACCTTACAAGTTATGTGCAGCACCTGGCGACGGAATGAGCCAGACGGTGCGATTTCTTGTGACAAAGAGTGACCATCACGGGCATCACAATCAGCGAGACGTCTCCCGGTCTTCATTATAATTTACCTCCATTTTTATGGCTCGCTCGCCCATCTTGTTCATTATTTCTCAGCACCTTTCAAATATCGAGAATGACCGCACGGTGAGGCCAAAGGCTGGGCGTATGTGAGGGGACCTGCTGTGTTCACCTTCGGCCATCTGGAATTGACTACCCCCGACCCTATGCGTGGTCATTTTCAATTCTATCATATGACGGTAGCCTACCGTCGCCCAAGAAACAAGACTTATTTTACAAATCCATAGGACTATCGCCGCTCGTTTATACACTCACAACGTATTCTAGGTGAATACTTAAGATAAGTTGTTGCGGGGTTACGGGATCGGAATTTTAACCAGGTGGATGGGTTTATCAGGTGCTGAGTATTCAAGTGCTGCACATAAAAGCAAAAAAAGGATACATGGACTAAGCATGTTATGAGTATGATACAGAACCGGCCTCAAAGACGCCCATATCAGCCATGATTTCAAACAAAAGAAAAACCTTCAAAGTCTAAGAAGCCTTCTTCCAAGGACATTTTCCTCACAACAAGAACCTCTACAATCAGCCTCATATCCATTTTTCCATCCTCGGTCTCCGGGAACTTGGGTGTTGAAATCGGCATCGCTGGGGCAACAAAAATCTCATCATCATCCTCGTCCCCATGGATGGTCTCATAACCACCAGTGTCTTGGCCAGTAGCGGGATGATTGATCACATCCTCTGCGGTCATCACGGTGGTACCCATGCTGCCCGCCACAGTAATGTTGGTGTCGTCCACTGTCGTACGAGTGAATGGAGTGGGGGCAACAGAATGTGAACCCTCCGGCAAGGGGACGCTTGGTCCGACGTCAACATGGAGTGCTTCGAGTTCCTCGACGAGAGTATGAGCTTCGGCCTGGACATCTGCAGCCGGCTCGGTAGATGTATTGTGGGAAATGTGCTGCACGTCGTTCGCAGGAGCAGAGGCCGAGCCTGCTGCTTCAATAACTCCGCGTGCAGCAAGGACAAGTAAAGATTGTTTCCGTTCCTCGCGCCTTCTGTCTTTTGCTTGTCTTCGCGTCAAAGTCTTATTGATAGGCGGTGTGCCACCATTGTCCATAGGGGTAGGACCTTGCGTAAGTTTGCTGTGGTATGGGTGTTGCTTCTTCTCCCCCTTCTTCCCCCTCTTTCCGCCCGAACGTCCAGAACCGTTTTGATGGTGCTGATGACCGGGATGAACGTGGTGGAACCTCTTGCGCATCGGACGGGGTTTGTACACCGAGGATATCTCGAGGTCAACTGTATATTGTGGAGGGGGCATGTCAATCTCTGAGACATCAGCTGCCTCTGCTGCGTCGGATTCAAGTTCTGAATCCATGGCAAACACCGCGATGGAGTCTGCGAGATCCGACATAGGGTCATGTGAAGCTGTGTGTCTCTGCAAGACGACTGTCATCTGCATGTCCGCGTAGTCGCCGTCATCCGTGGCGACGGAATCTTCCTCGGTCTCTGTATTGGTAGTGGAAGATAGTGATGACGTGGCTGCAGAATCATCGTCGTCGAAGCAAGACATGGGTCCTTTTCCCTTTCTCCTAGACTTCTTCCCCCTTGCATCTCCCCAGGCATTGAATTGCCCACCGGTCCGTACATCTTCTCCGTACCGTGCCGCAAGCTCCTCTGGAACTTCAATTTCCTTGACAACAATAACGCTGGCGCCAATTTCTCCTGCCATCATTTCAAGAGTGTCAAGACTGGACTCAAGCTCTTCTCTCCGCAAGCCGACCAGGTCTCCGGAATCAGCCACACCAAGCTCATAATAAGCTTGACCGCCACCTTCAAGCAGTCTCCACTTGAGCTGGGTGACAAGGCGAGCGAAACGAGCGGGAGAGGGGTTGAGGAGCTGGAGTTTGTATTCGACGTTACCTGAGTCATTCTCAGGTACCAGTCGGGGAAGGAGTAGAGGTGAGGGGGAGAGATATCGAGGAGATATGGATGTTGGAATGGGGGATGCTGTAAGACTGCCGTTTGACTGACTACCGGGCTTGAAGGGGGATAGGGAACTAGGGCTGGGAATCAGAGAATCCCAAGGGGACGGAACGCGTGGGCTTTCGGACTCGTATTCGCCGAACATAGGTTATGTGCGGTTCTTGGGTTTCTTTCTGAATTCAAGGTGTGGCCTGTGCTGGCCAAATGTGATTTATATCTTGGGCTCGATAGATATGATTGGCAAAGCCACAAGTGGTAGGTTTCGGTGAGTGATAGGTGTTACAATCAATTAAAGCAGATATTCGGGGGATCATGATTTAACAATCCACGAACGTGCGGGCAAGATTGGAGGGGAATGTTATACGGCTATCATGGTGGTGACGAGTCAAGGTGTGATGGCAGGGGCATTTCGCATGCAAAGACGGGTTGACAGGTATATGTTTCACCCGGAACTCCTAGCCAAACAAGAGCACAGCTTTGCGGGGGAACAAGTGCGGAACATGATTCATTACAGTTCAGTCAATGACTCGGATAATCACTGAGTACAGAGATGCTTTACAGGAGCTTTACTTAAAATTACACAGGAAGGGATCGGCAAATGAAAGAATAATCATCAAGGCCCAGCATTCTGCCAAAGCCACGAAATGATAATGGCGCCAACCAGAACCACTTTCTCAAAGTCGGTGGGCCACATATTCTGCGTGTGGAATGATGGTGTGACATGGAGTGACCATTTCCCATCCTATAAACCAGAGTCCAACAAACTGCTATCGAAACCCAAGCTGCGATAAGAGTCTGCCAATACGTCCGCCCCCACTTCGACAGGCTGTGCTGTTCCCCTGGCCCACCGCAGATACCGCCCTTGACTACCTGATGAGTTTTTCTCATTGTAGTAGATGCATCTCAGACTGGGACTGGAGTCGAATAAATCAGAAGTGGCTCCTTCAAAATTCGAACTGGTTTGCGAGGACGCCTCCTGTGGCCCCAAAGGCATGAATCCCGTACACACCAACATCCGCAAATTCTTCAGTGCAGGTAGATGGCGGAGGAGTTCTGTCACTTCCTAAAATGCAAGGAGTCAGTCACTAGTGATCGATGAATCGCTGGACTGGCTCACTTTGAGTGTCGACTCATTTGGGGAGTCGTGTTCATAGGATATTTGAAGGGCTTCCAGGGACTGCAAACAGGATACGAGATCTTCAAGATTAACGGTTACGGGAAAATAGTCGTGGAAGATGAGAACGCGTAATCTCGAGAGCTCTGCTTGCCAGTACGTGCTGAGATGAGAAGTTGGTTCATGTTCTCCTCCGATCCAGACGAAATTTGTGATGGCACGTTCGGGTAGGACGCTGAGTGCCATCTCGAAATCGCCAATGAACGTAGATAGGTTCGGGCAATATATTTGAGGCAAAGCAAGCGATGAACTTGATACGACGTCAAGTACTCGGAGGCTTGGTTGAGAGGCAAGGAATGAGAGGAGAGCCATAGATTCGTTGGCAGTCATGGCCCAGCGGTAGTCCCTCCATCTGAATGTTTCGAGCTGGAAAGGATTGTCGGATAGTTCCTCGAGGATACGGAAAAGGTTGGGGTCTGTGCTCATTAACGTCAACTGGAAAGATCTGAGGTTGACCATCTGGTGAAGGGCTTGGTGGAAAAGACTCCAGAACTGGTTTCCCCTGTAGCGAGTGTCTGGCCGGAAGGAGAAGCCCTGTACGTAGTGTGCAAGGCGGGGTATGCAGGCTAGCGTCCTGAAGAAAATGGTATCGTTGTTGGCATTGGAGATCCTCCACCCATCACTTTTGCCCCGCGTCACTCTGACCCCTCCCAACCCCACCCTTTTGTACAGACAGCGCTGGGAATCAGTGAGAAACGCTTTCGATACGAGACATAGGTCACAGAGAGAACGCCGGTCGTCCTGTGTAAATTCAATAATCAGGTTAAACAATTCTTGGGGGAGTATTTCAGCGTTGGGATCGAAAGGCATGATTAGGGAGGTTTTAAGGAAAGGTTGGAGAGTCGGGGACTGGATGGGGGCAAGGGGGGCGGTAGGCGAGTAGGGTAACTGAATGAGTGCGCGTTCCAAGTCGGTGTTATTCACGTGAACTGGTTTCCCTCACAGAATTCAGGGCGTGAAGCGTTCGAAAGATGACACATCGCTCACCTAGCTACTAGTTTGAACTTTGAGCTGGGTGGCCGCTGGGCGGGGTTCGCGTGTTCAACGCTCGGTTCAGGTCCGAGGCTTAAGTATTGCCACAGGCTGTTCTAACATTATTCATCAGGTCTATACAATGCTCCAGAAACACTATTATCAATTTACCGCCAATTCAATCGAGCGCGCGCCGCCAATTCGCTTCGTCACTGAGAATAGAAGCTCAGAAGTATGCTCCTTAAGCGAATCGAGATGTTGTAGTTTATTGCTCGTGAAAGGGATTGAATATAAATGTCCGATGAGAGTTCGGGGGGTGTAGGGCACGAAGAAGCGAGAATC